AGGATAAATATGTATGTATTTGTGAAGCACACACATCTTGTCCTGTGTAGGGATCGAATCACCGTGGAAAGCCATGCTTAGGCACAAGAGGGCCCCTCGACCGGAGTCATGCCACGGCCTTATTAAAAACCGGTGTTGACCTATTCTTTTGTTGCTTTACACCGAGTGAGTGAGTTGAGGGGGGACCTCAATGGTTGGCAACGCACTTGTAACTCTTGAGTTGCAGGCCAAGTGCTAGTTTATTTCACAGAAGTAGTAGAAACTGGATCGTCACGGTGACCGCATTCGGCGTCGCGTTTAGCCCGCATTGAAATCTCCACCAATCACAACGCTAAACGCGCTCTCCGTCGGGAGTGAGTCGATGTGAAATAAACTTGCACTCGGCCCTCAGGAGTTGATGGGGTGGAAGTCACTAGCCATCAGGTGTCTGCTCGTTTCACAGTTCCTCCTGCAACTGTAAAAAAATCCGATCCCCAGATGCTTCGTAGTGGCACGGCAACCATGTGTAAACATTATGCTATCCATGCAGTCGATACCAAATAGAAATATTCCATATATTGACATTTTCTAATCATACAAAGTAATTTAGTTAGAAATCCGACGCGTAAAAAATCCATCAAAATTTAATTTTGTACCAGAGTATCCTAGTTTGGCGCAGTTCCAATTCATCAGTCTGAAGCACAAATTAGATTTGTTACGCTGAATATTTTGGCTTGTACAAGGGTTTACTTTGTACATTTACAATCTAGTAGCCTTTGCCCGAGGTTTCGCCCGCGTGTACGTCGGTTATCGTGGTAAAAAGTAGCCTATGTTATTTGCTGATATTGTACCGTTCCATTGGTGAAATAATTTTTAAAATCGGTTTAGAGGTTTAGGCGTGAAAGCGTAACAAACAAACTCACTTTCACATCTGTAAGTATAGATGTAATGGAATGTGATGTCGCAGAGCCGTTTGCGTCAGGTCAAAGGTCAAATTCAGTACGGGTTTGGTCTTTTAGATCTCCATTATTTTTATTATAAAATTGTATGTAGAGCGTAGAGCTGATAATAAACAAATTATTAAATCTAAATGTAATGATCTGAATACATGGGCGTAACCAGCGATTACTTTGGGGTAGGGCAAAACTAAGAAAACTAGATAAATGAATTAATATTTTTTATACCATTTACTTGTAACCTTATTTCAATAAGTAACCTGCAAGGATTACTGCATACACTGTTTGAATTGTTTTGCTTCCAGGACCTTCTTCCAATGCACACTCATCATGCAGAAGCCGACAAATCGTTTTTCTGTCATTGTCGATCTAAAACTAAATTATTTTGTTGCAATGGAACCGGACTTAGTGAAATGTTTTAAACTTTAATCACGAAATAAAAATCGGTGTGTAAGACAATGTGGAGGGTCCGGTAAGCGCACCACCCTACCCCACTATGGCCCATGTCTGAATGAATTTTTGACTATCGCTAATTGGGTTCATCACATATTTTAATATCGTACAATCTTTTTATAATATTTAAATACGGTCGTTCTGATATAATTGTGTATAAAATTAAACGGCATGACTTCAATAAATCAATCAATCAATTAACGGTGTTACTCAATAAAATAAAATGTATTTTTTTAATAAAAAAGTTCTACTTTCACAGTAGTTTACGATATAACAATGATTGATTCAGACGAAACAATTTTAGTTTTCAATTTTATGGGAACAATAAATATTATAACTGTGAAAGCCCGTAGCTTTCCCTGTGTATAACGTCACAATGAAAGGTACCTGCACCTCTATAATGCAAGGTCTTGCATTATGCAAGAGCCTGCAACAACGCCGCGATCTCTGACATTATACGGACACTTTCACGACGGAAGATATGAAGTCGATACAGCAAGTACCCGAACGCTCCTATGAAATATTTCTTTGTATTTAAATGGCGCCTTAGAAAAATTCGTTTAATAAAAATTGTTTAAAATACAATTGATCAACAGTATATCAATAAGTTCTCTTAAAAATAATACAAGAACTTCGATTCCGTTTGCACTCGAGATCACACGATGTTTAATGCATGAAATCAAACAAAAACCCTATAATACTATAGGGTTTTTGTACATAACTGAGCTACTTTCTGTAAGCTCAATGAATATTTTAGTATTCCTAGATTTTTTACGATAGTTGGGTCGATTCTTTTTACTTTTTCATTGCCTGTGACGTCAGTAAGAAGGGTCTAGCTAGTAGGTAAAATGAAATACGATATTACTGTTTACGCAACCGTACTGAAGGGTGAATAATAAAATGTTATCTTTAACTCTTTTTCGTTCGATGTTTTGCGCTTCTTGACAGACAGCTAATTTGTTCCGAATATATATATCCCAGTAACAATCTTGTGACCCAAATACAGATGTACAACGAATGACCTAATTAATAAATTAATGTTTGTCGCTTTTGGGGGGCGGAATTAGGAAATTAAACAATAACAAGTGCGACCTACAAGCTGTGCCGTGTGATTATGTCAACTGAAAGCGGTTATTGTATTTCTTTTTCTATAATTAATATAATTATAAACCCCTTTTCTTATGAAACGATTGAGTTTCAAAAATTAAATCCTATAATTAGTATTTAGTCTTAATATAATATTGAAAATCTCTAAATATTTTTTAACAAACTGTGCAGTTGGAATATGCCCATGCTTTTCCACTACAATACTAAGTTTGGTTAAAACTTGGTAAATTATATAATAGGTAATATTATCATTTGGATCGTAATTAGAATTTAAAGAAAATTTGAATAAAATAATATGTAGGTTTTTTATGTGTAATTATTTCGCCGCCGCCATCGGTCGCCGTGAGAGTTTTATCCGCGTGTCGGATAAGTTAAGCGTTATTACCTTGAAATATTACGGTAACTTTTAAAGGCGGATACTAATTTCAATATTATTCGATTTCCGAATGATCTTAGCCACATAAAACCATAAAGTGATCTAACTTGTGTCTAAATATCACGAACACTCAAAAAGAAAAAGATCAAAGATAAGATTTTAGTTTTATTAATGATAAGCCGCTTTATTCTACTTTTTGTATGAATACATGTATTTGTGATGCAAAAGAGTAAGTAATGCCTATTTAAAGAGATTTGGTATCCGATGACAACCGATACCTGACTGGCCTGTTGGAGCCGGAGGTCGTGCGTTCGATTCCCACCCAGGACAAATTATTCACCATGTCTGTCTGGATGAAATCTATGTATTTAGAAATATTTAAGTATGTTTATCAGCGGTCTGGTTACTATGGTGAATTTCCTTTTTTTACTTTAGTTATCTATACAAATAAATAAAATTGGAGTGTCTGTTTGTAATATTAAAATAACCGCTTTTTACTAAATGCATATGTATGTTTACACGGTACATATGTCTCTCTGTTTGTTCCGGGTAATCTCTGGAACGGCTGTACCGATTTCGACGGGACTTTCACTGGCAGATAGCTGATGACATAAGAAGTAACTTAGGCTACTTTTTTTAGACAAGCTTTGCCCCGCGGCGTTGCCCGCGGTTATAACAACAAACGCGGGTAACACCGCTGGTCTCAGCTAGTAGAGTATAAAAGCTTATACTGTCTTTTTGTTACGTAATTTTTATTAGATGCCCAGGTTTAGTATATACCAAACCACCCATCCAAATTAAGTTCATTTGCAAAGTCATGTGTTTAGGTTAGTATGCTCTTTCGTTGAGAACTGGTAAGTGACTTGTCTAAGTGTTTACGTCTTATATCAGAGTTAGCGATTTAATTACAATAACCAGATACGCACCATTGTGTGTAAAGATCAACTGCATGTAGAAATTGAGTCTCGAGGAACATTTGGCATCATTTCGAGCAATAAATAAAATGCAACTAACGAATAATAATAATCTTTTCGGACATCTAACACAGCGCCATCTAGTTTCAAACTAAACAGAACTTTTACTATGAAAACTAGATTGACCGATAAATTAAAAATAATTTCTAAAACGGGTTGATTTAATATTTTGCTTTGTTATGTATACCTACATTTTCTGCATTTCCATGACTGATCAACAAAATCTCCTTTTTGTATCATACCATCCATACCAGATGCTATATATTATCAATTATTCATAAAAAAAACTCCGTTTAAAATAAACGCTTCACACTTTAATCCTGAATCAATCTTCTTGAAGAACTTACTCGCTTATTATAACTTTAGTTTCTTAATAAATACGTGTCTAATTTGCTCACGAGAGCGAAGTTCCGTGATAAACAAAAGGTGAATAAAATCGCTCCGATGCCATTCGATTTTATGGTGAATTCATGATAAATATTATAGGTAGCAAATGATTGTAATTCTTTTCTCACACCGTTTAAAGTTTATTTTGCCGTAATGTATCTATATGCTACAGATGAGAAGATCTTAGCATAGTCTTTGCTTTGCGCTTTGAGAGCTAGCTTCTAGCTAGCTTCATACATAGCTTTTAAAGTGTTAACCGAAGACTAAATATAGTTGATACAAAAGTTAAGTCTCATATCTACTTGTATTCTTATTAATAACGACACTGAAAAAAATGCCTCGGTTCTCAATTGCTACTTAATACACTTTAAATATAACAATACAGCTTTTTGTACGTTAGAGCGTCCGTGAAGCCTTACCTTACCCCAATTTTTCTATAAAACCGATTTCATTGCAGACTATAGGTATACGGCGAAGAGGAAGTCTCATTTTTACATGAGATGGCTCAAAAAGGAGCGTAATGTTGTCAGAGTGTTTGTGTGTGTGTTTTTGCATTATAGTTTAAATGCTGATGTTTATATGTACATATATAGGGTATCCTTAGAATGCTTACGTTATTACTTCTTAGTAAAAGTATTCTTGTTTATAAGTAACTTGTTGACAATTGGAGTATGACAAAAACTAAAACATCCGATTTTTATAGCCTAGAAGCCGATTCCAAAAAACGACTTCGTGTACAAGTATAAAAAGTTTTTTTTTCTTTTTAAGGATGATGAAGACGAAGATGACACAGAAACTTGTACGAGCCCAGAAGTATGCGCGCCCCAACCTTTCCCAAGACATATGGCACCTCAGCAACAGACTCCTAAACCTTGGAAAAGAACCGGTAAGCAAACTTCTACTCTAATCTATGTCTAGAATAAGAGCTATTTTAAAATGTATCTCCTCCCGAATGAAGGTTTCATTAATTGAAATTATTCCAAATTTAAAATTGGCATTAAGCACTCAATCCTTCCTACATGCACACCTTGACAATATGGTGACATTTGATGACAGCCTCCGAAGAGCCGCCGAGGGCACCGCCGCGCACGCGCATCTCACACGACGAGTACCATCAGTTCTGCGACCAGACCCTCGAATGTATGAGAGCATGATAAAACTGTCGCATGACGTCACGCTTTTTATTTTGCAATACCAAACGCTTGGCAACTGTCATGTTATTTCATATTTTCAGTATGAACGGCCTCTATGACATCACAACGTTCAACCGCGTCATTTCGTCAAGTTGTTTTATTGTGATTTATTATCATCAAAGTTTTATTATAGAATCATCAGTGTTACCATCGTTTATCCTTTAAAATACATCAAGCTTACATATTTTATAACTAGACTAAATCACATTACTGAGTTACCTTTTTGTACGCATTTACTAATTGTATAAATACACCATTATCATCACTGTATAACTGGTTACGTATTAATAACTGTAAACTCTTTAGTAGCCATATTTTGTTCATAAAAATAAAAAAATGACCATGGGTTCTATTTTGATTTTATTTGTAAGCAAAGTTGACTCGGACTTTGTTTTATGTAATTCTAATGCGTTACATAATAATAGGATATAGAAATTATTTGCATTTCCCATTACATACGTCCTGTATTGGTAACATGATCAATGTTGATAAATTGCCAACGGTTTTTTCACGTCATATGAATGATTGAATACAAAGATCATTTGGTAATTTGTGGATTGGATTGGTTAACTGGCAGCGTAGGTTGTCTTTCCGATTGCTATTTAATACTTCCGTGTACCGAGTGATATAATTATGATTACATGTTTGAACAAACTTTGAGCTGATCCAGCGCAAATCTTAAGAATATACAGGCCTTGGTTTTGTGGTTAGTGGCCCTAACTGCTAAGCCAGAGGTAGTGGGTTCGATTCCCACCCAGGACAAATATTATGATGAGCATGATCATTTGTTCTGCGTCTGGGTGTAATTTATCTATAATATGTATGTATTTAGAAATATTTAAGTATGTTTATCAGTCTGGTCACTAAGCACAGGCTCTGCCTAGTTTGGGATCAGACGGCCATGTGTGAGATGTGTGAGGTATATTATTTATTTATATACCTACTGCCAATATTCATCATAGTAGGCCAAAACCTCCTTTCTAAGGAGAGGCCTTTGTCCAGCAGTGGACTATTAAAAACTGTTGATGAATATTCATGTAAAGTGGCAAAAAAGTGAAGAAAATAAAGTAAAAATGGCTGCAATGCATAATGAAATTCTAAATACAAAACGTTTCATATGGGATTAAAGAATAATTTGCCTAATAGTTAAATTATTTTTTGTCAGCATACGACCTGGCGACTCAGTGTCCGTCGCGACGGGCGTCCATGAGACGCCACACTGTTACGCACACTGTCTGCCCACCCACCGATGGAGCCCATTCATTGCCACATTCGAGGTACGTATAATATACTCCATTAAACCTTTCTCTATAATTTTTATAAATTTTTGACAATGCCCCGTGAGTCTGGGTCTGGGTGTTCTTTGTATACGTTTTATGTATGTTTGTAAAGTCCCACGAGACACAGGATATATCCCTAATGCGAGAGTTGTCTTTAAAAAAAAATGTAACCCGTGCGAGCAGCAGGCACATTATATTAACCAAATACGCAAATAACCCACGTCTTTGCCGCTCTAGCTACTTTGACCGTGAAGAACCACCTTCAAGTTGCGTGATAGGTTGTTTAAAGTTGCGTTATAGGACGTGATATTGGTTTACACGGCCCAAACACTGTTTAAGTAGTGACTTAACTCGCAACTGAAAAAAAATTAATAGAACACTTAATTTAATAGACTGTTAAAACAGTTTTTGATCTCCATTCCAAATTTAATTTTTAGATTGAGTTCGACCAACACTGCTATATGAAATCGATAGGTACAGTAATATGAAAGTAGGCACTTCAGGTTTAATGTCAAGGGGTCAAGATTTGTGATTCTAATAACGAACAAAAGGTCACTACTCTGCCCATTTCCTATTGACGTTGATTAAGCGTAACTAATTAGAAGACATTAAACATTTTCGCCCCTGATTGATTAACTTCATAAAATCAGAGCTCAGAGTAACAAATCTAATAATCTGAAACAGATGCTTATTTTTGATATATCTGTGCAAATACCAACTCGTTCAATATTCAAATTTAGATGCAAAGTCGCTGTCAACTATACAATTTAGTCTATATTATCTAAGTGGCTGCCAGTACTCTACCATGTACCACTATCCATTCCATACACAAGCACGTACATGGTACGAGTACAAATAATCTTCATAATAAAAACGCTAGAAATCATAACGGGTGGTTCAATTAATGCGTACGATTATATTTTAATTAGTCATGGCACAATAGCATATACAATAAACTGTCATTGTATACCAACAACCAATTAATGAAATAAAACGGGACATCCAAAAAGGTCCAAAACTGCCAGTCAATTTCCATTACTAAAAGGCGATATAGTCAATTCACATGTCTTGTCCCACCAGGCCAGGTTCCCGAGCGTCATGCGCCGGCGCCGCATCTCTTGCCAGCAGTGACGCCGATGGACCTCTCAACGAGCTGTCCTGGTCTCGTTCCTCGCTCCAAGATGAGCTCATCAAGTCGGTTAGTGGCAGTCCCACTAATAGCTCGCATGTGAGTACAACTTATAAATTTAGTGCATTGATGGACGTTTTGGAATCTGCACCTCAATGAGATTGAGAAGGTATTTGTAGTAAAAGATTTGCTTGAAATGGCAGGGCTTACTCGAGAATTTATTTATCGTTTGGAATAAAAACCAAAAAAGCTGTTATAGGATCATTTTATCATCCGTCTGCTCTGTCAGTTCAGATATTTTATAAAAAAATGCGGTTAGGTTTGTACGGTACACACTTGTCCGGCTTTTTAAATATTATATTAGCTAGGATGAATTGCAAATATTAGATACTAGTTGGAATTTTAAGCAGGAAGATTTGCACAAAAAATCTTTGCTTGTACCGCAAACTTAAAATTCGAAATGTTTGAAACTGAATTTCTTTACGGGGTTCTTAAGTTTGGAGCAAAAATGTAATTTGTGTTTAAAAAGCTTTAATACTGCTTTTGTTGCATAAGCAGGTTGCTTGTAGTCAAACACTTTTAATCGTTACAGACTCCCCAAACAAATACGTAACATTTGACAACCTCCAGTACTGATTGAAGTAATCTGATAATTTTGCAGTCATATTGAGTAAACCTTGTAGATTTCAAGCGATCACGTCTCCTATTATAGATCACAACTGACAGAGCAAATGTATTGCTATCTGTTGACTGCTCTGCCACTGCTATCGTTAAAGACGCATCTTTATAGACATATTCTTCAGTACAATATATTATTCATCACAAAAACTGCTGTAGTTATTCACGTAGAAAATAAAATTAGTTTATTGTTTACTTTGTGCTTGCTTGACATTTAAACTTAGTAGATACGCTATACTCGTATACCATGCACTACCATTATGACGGAATGGTAACGCTTGTAATACGCACACAATTTATGCTATGAAAATATTAAGTTGTTTTAAAACCAAGCACAGCTACTTCAGTGCAGAAGCAGAGTTAAATCTTTTTTAAAAGTGCAATATTTACAATATATTGGCTATTTCAGAAATGCAGATCGATAACAGACACATAAGTAATCATTGGTACATGTGCTTCGTTTTAAAGCAATAGATATATATTATAGATGCATTTTTTTTTTAGCAATGATAAACCTGAAAGCAGCTTTCGTAAACAGTAATAGTTATTCGTATGTAAATCTAGCGACTGTCAAACAAACTTCTAGAAGAATCTAGTAATAAATGTTTTTCTTTTGTATTTCCAGAAACAGTGGCAAGATGCCATTATGTCTGACGACCGATTGTCTTTGACCCTAGAAGAGATTGTCCACATCAGGTCTGTACTGACGAAGGCTGAACTAGAAGTACTGCCAGTCGAAGGCAGGGTCAAAGAAGACGTTGAGAAGAGAAGGGTAAGTGATTATTTTCAGTTTTGAAGTTACCTTATTTAATTTAACATTTACAAGTTTGAATAATATTTATTTTTGACCGATGAATTAATTTATTTTTTGTTTACAGGTATGCTTTTTATGTTTGAAAACAAGATTCGGCATTTTTGGTCCCTGGGGCCAGAAATGCAAACTGTGTAAAAAGACTGTCTGTCAAAAGTGCTGTTCAAAGGTGAGTTTACAAAATTGAATATAGCTTTACCTCACCAAATCTTAGTTTTATTATCTATATCTACCCTAATTACATTAGGTCCTAAGATCAAAGACAAAAACCCACTGCCTTCGCTAAAAACAATATTAATTTAATTAAGTAAAAAATAAAATCATTATCAACAGCTTTAAGAGTCCACTGCTGGACATAGGCCTCTCCTTAGAAAGGAGCCACGCTGGCCAGACGGGCTGGTATAGTTTCACGGGTTTCAAGTTTTCCTTCTCTTTGCAGTGTTGTTGTCCTGCGTAGTTTGCTCCCTTAGTCGACTCTTACGACACCCACGGGATGAATAGGGGTGGTGACACTCCGTATTCATAATCCGTCACAACACGGATAAATAAAATAAAAATATACATTTCATCCTTAAATTGGCATCCTTTCAATGTACATCTTTGTCACAGAATTAGGCATAAGCTGTCCATGTCTATTTCAGATGAGAATACCAACGGAACACTTCGCACACGTGCCCGTGGTGCTGCTGAGCCCATCACTGCTGCCATCACCCGAGGACGAGGCGCAGTCGTCCTTCCCCAGGAGTCTCATGTCGAGGCTCGTCTCTCCTGATTACTCGGTGAGTTATTGTAACTACGCAGTCGTAGTAAATGGCTTCCTTCATAACAATATCTCTATTAATTATAATCTGAAATCACTGTAACAATTGTTGAAGTTATATCCTTGAAAAGCTTTTATTAAGACATGCAAACTCCTCCTATTGAATACAAAAGAATAGAACTGATAATATATGCTCATAATTTTTAGGTTATTAGAAAAATACTTTACCTTAAGTTCACTTACATTCTTAGTAATTAGTTAAAAATGGCCTTCCAGTCAATAAGAGACTACTAAATCAAGTAAATAAATGATTCATTTTGTTAAATGCCCAAATTACGTCATTTATATTAAACAACGAACTTTGAATAATGTTATAAAAGAAACTCATATTATGCCTCAAGAAAATATTTATAACCATGCCTCGTACACTCGTAATGATTTCGCATCCATAAAATGCGTCTGTTGTTTCTCATTTGTGGCAAGTGTTAGATGCAGAGTAATGGTGGATCGTATACCGCAAATTGCTTACATGCTCGTGAATAGGCCTCGATAACTTATTTTATGACTTAGCTTCTATGTAACAACACCGTTGAAGTATTATTATGGTTATATATAGGTACTTCCCTATAGATAGTATTCTTAATACGAGTAAAGTGATAAAATGTTAACGTCTGTAAGGTATAAGGGTAAGCGGTTACCGAAGACCATGTAATTTCAGTGCAATTCCAAAGAATTCAGAACTAACCCCAGAACTAATCCCACTAATCCCTGAATGAAATAGCAATCGAAAGGTAAGGAGTTAATACGAGGTGTGTTAATCAGCAGAGTATGGTGGAGAACAGCGTGGGCAGTGCCCCGAGCAGCCCTGCGCGGGCGCGGCGCTGCGGCGGCGCGGCGGCGTCGGCGCCACACTCGCGCGGCGGCTCGGCGCTCGGCTTCAGCGACGCGCTGGCCGTGCCCGCGCGGGCCAGCGCCATGTCGCGCAGCGTCGAAGGGCCACAGGCCATGTCGCTCGTCAACACGCCCCCCTCCACCTTGGACCGCAGGTGGGTACCGCAGAATCACCTCGGCTACACACTACATAGTCTGTAGCGCTAATGGACATCCATTAGTGTGAAGAAAATAAAATGAACATGAATAGTGAATTTCGATAGCCACGAAATAATAATTGTTAAGCATATTTTGAATTATTTTTCCCACATGGATGTAATGGTAGACTTTTTAATGACATTTTATAAGAATTCAGAATATTCAGAAATTTTGAAGTAACTTTATCAGTGACGTTTACCGATCCAAGTTTTTAACATTACAGAGCGAGGTACGGTCGCAGCACGACCGGCGTGACCGCGGCGGAACGTCTGCGGGGCGTGCAGATGGCGGTGTGCCACGACTGCAAGGCCATGGTGCTGCAGATCATCAAGTCGTCGCGGGCCTCGCGCTCGGCGTCGCGCGACCGCGCGCTGCGCCACCTCACGCTGGACCTGGCGCCCGTCTACACGGCCGACTGCTAGTGCGCGCGACACAACCCGCCGGTAGTGCCGCCACACCCGACATCTATCCCATATAGATTATGAGTACTACTACCCTACCTTTAATTACCATGTCGTATACCTAGTGATACCAGTGCTTTTCAAAATATTATCCGATATCTTGAACTTGATAGGTTTGCGGCACCGTGAAATTCTCATTTCGATTTTTAGTGTACTCATCGTAAAAAAACCGGGCTGCGATATCGACGTGTCAATTATTGATGCGTTTAGCTAATGGGGTGTGTTTGCGTTCACCAACAGTTACGATCGTGTTCACCGGTTATGGTTTTTAATCAGTGGAGATACTAAACTTTATCCGTTTGTATTTCTACCGCGACACAACATAGAACGTGGACGGGAAGATCTATGACGTTGGAACCGGTCTAATGTATTCTCACCTCCATGCAATTGTTTATTTATTTCTAGAACCGTAATATTAATGAATAAAACTCAGGTAGCAGCTCAATGAATTTATTTATTTATAATTACATTAGCGACCGAATAATCTCAATAAATTATTTAATTAATAACATCACAACGTAAGCTTTCATATACTAACTTCGTCATACTTCTATTTCTATGATCAAACATTCCTAATAGTCTTTTATTTTGTATATTCTATAATAATAGCATTCGTTTCCATTTTGTATATAATAATAATAATACTCATTGACATTAATTAGTAAAATATATAAATTGTCAACAGTTAAAAACTATATTGACATAAATATGCACTTCATTCGTATCACGGATAAATTTATTGTAGTCACCTCAAATCAATTTATCAAAGTCGACACGTGAGTTATAGAAGTCACCACAAAAGGTTCAAAAATCGAGCTTCCAAGGTTGTGTAGAGTCTATGTTGTGTTTCGTACGAGGACCATACATTTTGCTTTGACAAAATGAACTTTGACAATACTGTATGACCTTTGACAGGCGTAACTAACACTATTATTATTATTTGTCGCACAAAAATCAAACAATTCATTAAATTATCAAAATATTTATCCTACATTATCAGAGATATTACATTATAATAAATTAAATATAAAATAATGATATATTCCAGAAATTTACTAAACAATATTTTGTCACTTATTATTAGATAAATTTATATTTTTCTCCGAATTATAGATTGTTTATTATGTCTACAAAATCAATGTGAAAATTAAAATAAATGTGTGTTCAAAAATATAATGTACTTCCCTATGAATGTTGTTGTATAAAGCAAAAATATATTGTATAAATGTTATTAATATCTTGTAGAATCTGTATAATGAAGTGATCAATCAAACATAAAAGCTATACCCCCTTTAAAGTCAAATTGTAGAAAAAAGCAATGTGTTTACATGTGGGTACATTTTCGTACTTTGCATTACAGTTGCAATTTAAAGTCACGAAATATTTACTTTTCAATTTTTCTACAGTTTGACTTATATATTGAACTCTACGTAGCTGTCCCTTGACGCGAAAATCCCCAGACTAAAAGCGGTCAGTATCACACGAAGGATTAATTTAAATAGCTGAATGACATTCATGTCCTCAATAAATTATTTACATTATTGTGATAACTTTGTAAACTTATTAGTTGAAGAATTTTTTTAGAAAAATAACATAATCTACGTGTGAATTGGACATAAAAATACCCCTTTTTAAATAATTATTATGAGTGACATTCAGAGCAATTGTGTTTTCAATAAGTTAAGTTTCCTGTGCCATACAGATCGAGAAAATGTTTTATCCGTGACAGAAATCATTTAATCGCATGTGCGTTTAGTCGCAAATAGAATGTCACGATATTGTTTATGGAAATCCTACGTGCCTACCTATGAGTACAGATCAAGACTATATATTTTGTTGTAAGTTAAATTATCAACTTTCCATATGCTTTTTGGTTCATTACGTAAAAATACAAAAATAACAAAAAGAAATCTGAAATTATTTCCGCTCTGCCGGTTGCGTGCTTTTGATAAAACTGTCATTATTATGAAGGATTTTGTATATTGTTTTCTTTATTTAGTCGTTCTTCAGTAATTTAAATATAAGATTGAGTTTGACAGTTCAGTCGACAGTACGGAACCGGCTTTATTAAGTCTGATTGTTTGGAGGAGATGTATGTTTTGTATAAATGTTTGTTACTCCGTTCATGTTCATACAAAGTCAATTATTATACTGTGGCGATAATACAACTTAAGTAATGTAGGTCATTTTTAAAGCTAATCGTGTACAAAACCATGTACTTACCAACTATTCATATATTTTTTTGAGATTCAAGACTGAATCTGTTAAATGGCATATTAATGATGGCATTTAAATTAATAATAAAAAGAAGCGAACAAATTTCAACTAAATTATTATTGCCACAGTCATAAACTTGACTATTTTTTAGATGTAACTAAATTATTACTACACGAAATGTACCCACTTCCTAGTACTCTTGTAAATATAGATGTCTAGATCGTAGTAGCGGTTCTAAATAAAAGAGTAGAACTATTTTCCAACTAATTAATTATGTAGAACTGGGTTTTCCCTTAACTCTTACATTCCCTCCGTTAATTTAGTTATTTTTAAGTTATAGAAATAAAATATTATAATCGTAATGCTGCAGGTGGCCTAATTTTGGAAGTTCTTTTGACATTCTCGCATAAATTGGTTTATTTTTAAAAACATTCTGAATTCAAAAATATATTCATTTCAACATTGTATAAAGCCCAGTTACTATACTTGTAAATGTGTAATTTAGTAGGCTGTTAGATGTTACTTAGACTGTAACTGTTTAACGAACTTAAGTACTTACGTAAGTGGAAATAATCGATGATAAAAACAAAATCATATTAAATAAACATACAATGTAAATCGCATTTTTTATTATTATTATACCCCAACAAGACTATTACTTAAACCTTTTATACCCAATTAGTTGCTAGTACAGGGTAAATGATTAGGGCTGTCCGTTGTCCGGGCAGAAGCAGGCCTAAATGATGGCTCGATGTGTTTCGTGATGGCCTCTAAACCAGAGGGCGGTTAAGTTCTGCTAAGTTAAGGATTGGAAGGCTTTCTTCTCAGGGTATACCCAGGTTCCTTGCAATAGAACTTTAAAAAAAAAAGCAATAGACCTAGTAATACGTAGACACGAAATAACTTGTGGTTTTAGTCAGCTCAATTCCGACATACCAATTCACAGTTAGCTTCATTGAAATGATCAAACGCGGGTGCTTCCATACTGTAATTTTCCTTGAAAACGCCTTGTTGTTTTGTGTTAGCAAAATGTTTATTTTCAACCACTACTATTTCATTTTATTAGGCGCATAAATTACAGTAAAGTGAAAATAATGAAAACCACATCTCAATCATGGAATTTTATAGCACGTACGTGATAAACAGTACTCGTACATCAGTTTTCATAAAAAAAAAAACATTTTTTATATGTCCTGAGTACGTGTTTTAAGTGGCTCTCCTAGGGAGTTTGCTCCGCACTAGAGGCACAATCGATGCTCATTATTTTGATACCTAGTGTACGTACAGCGACAGCGGCATAAGTGCATTATATACGTTTGGCGTACATAATGTATTACTACTTATTATGGTGGCTCTGCGGTAGAGCACGACACATGAAAACTCATTGCGCCGACCTCAAATAAATTTGATAAAAGGGCAAGAAGATGATGAGGGTTATAAAAAGGTTTTTAATAAAAGATCCCTAACCTATATTTTATTGAACCTTTTATTATCCAGTCGTATCAGTATTAGAATGTCAGATGAACTGTCTGAATCTGTCCGTGTTTGTGTGTAGTGGGATATTGTAACCCGTTCGAACGCCATCGAAACCGAACTTTTTCATCCTCCTCAACTGGTTACGAATCATCGGTTTTAATGTCGGCCGAAGGGCCGTTACAACCTTCTTGTTTATATCCTGATACGACTTGTAAAAATATCTGAAAAGATTTACTTGCAGAAATAAATATAAGTAATTTCATTTCATTTCGATAAGTGTGTGGAGGAACGGTGTCATGTCCCTCTAATACAAAGGGAGGATCCTCCGACCTAGCCTGGTGATCATGCCTGGCGGGCCGCGGCCCAACGGTTGATGTTGGGAAGTTATAGTGAAGTATATATCCTAACCTTATGGAACAAGCACTTAGCGTAGCTAGCGGTTAACAATAATAATAATACCATAGGTCCTGAAATACATACAGCTCGTCTTTGCTTTCCATACCTCATTCATTCATCATCAGTCTATTGTCGTCCACTGCTGAACGAAGCCCTCAGGGAGCGCCAACCATCCCGCTCTTGGTTAATAATAATTCCATAATCTTAGAGGACAAAGTGGTTATGGCTGGCCTGTAGTTGGACGGATCAGCGCATTTCCATATTGATTGGGGACCAACCAATATGGGACTGCGCCGATCCGTATATTTATAATAAAAATAACAATTTTAATTTGAACATTTTATTTTGAATAAGATGTGTTTGGTGTCAACACATTTCGACTGAATCTAAACTTCAATGAAATCATTTTGTAATAATTGCATTGCAATCTAATATGATATTACTGTTTTACAAATTAATCTCACTTTATAATTAAATAAAACAATCATAACAGTAATCAAATTTATTGATTGATTAGCGATTCTATTGATGTACATTGTACCTTAATAAATAAATTGTCTAATAAATATTTAGCCTACAACTAGTATACCCTCCTCGGCGAAAGTGTGGGGGGGTACTTCCAGGTTGAGGGGTGCGGGGCCTTTACGAATGCGGCCAGAGGCGTCGTAGTGAGAACCGTGGCAGGGGCAGTAGTAGCCACCGAAGTCACCGGCGTTGGCAACGGGTACGCAACCCAAGTGGGTGCATACTCCAATGACGACTAACCATTTGGGCTGTTGAGTGCGTTGCTCGTCAGCTTCGGGATCGCGGAGCTGGTCGATGGATACGGCCTTCTCAGTTGCGATTTCGCTTTCGGTTCTGTTGGAGAAGTGGAGACGTAGATAATTTAGTGAATGAAGGAACCTTTGGGATTTCATTATGGTAACATGGGGTGACACACACTTTTTTTTTAATAAATTCTAGACTAAAAAAAGTATGATACGCTTTTATGGCTTCAATAACAAGGATTTCAGGACGCGAATCCTTTGTACTGTCAACATGGACTACTTAAAACATCAAATACAATGCAAGGTCATTTTATGTACATAATTATTTTTAAATATAAAAAAAAACATTGTTATAAAATCATGATACTGGATTCTAAATTACCTGTGACGAATGAATAAAGGCTTTCCACGCCACTTAAAGGTGACTGACTTTCCTTCTGGGATGTCAGATAACTTGATCTCAATCTTGGCCAATGCCAAAACATCAGCTGCGGCAGCCATGGAGGACACAAACTGTGTAACTACAGACTTGGCGGCATAGGCACCAGCGACACCACCCGCTGTGAATTAGAACAACGTAAATTGTTACACTAATATTTTAGACAAAAACCAAAGCGAACAAAACTTAATAATTATTATTTATTACACGCTTTTTGTAGTGTGGTGACGGATTAGGAATACGGAATGTCACCACCCCTATCCCGTGGGTGTCGTAAGAGCCGACTAAGGGAGCAAACTACGCAAGACAACAACACTGCAAAGAGAAGGAAAACTTGAAACAAACCCTATATCAACCCGTCTGGCCAGCGTGGTTTAGTAGTCCAAAACCTCCTTTCTAAGGTGAGGCCTATGTCCAGCAGTGGACTATTCTAGGCTGTTGATGATGATGATGACACGCTTTTTATTAGCTTCACCTGTATGTTTGTTTATAACCAACTCCTTTGGGCGGGATTTTGACTGACTTTAAATGGTCAGAATTTGTTCAAACTTGTTCAAGTTTGTTCAAACATTTATTATAAAAAATAAAATTATTTAAAAAAAAAAAGAAATAGGTTAACACGCTTTTTATAGAAAACCAAACTAAAAAATAGAAAATAAATTTTGATAAATTTGAAAAAAAGCGTGGGGTACCTTTTACTATGCACCCAACGCTTTTTTTTAGTTTGGTGTTCTATGAAAAGCGTGTTTTTAGTTTTTTTAAACTATTATTTTTAATTACTAAAAGGTAGGTAATATAGGTTATTGTACCTACTCTATTTCACACATCTATTAGTAAGCAGATACAGTACTAGAGAACCCAAACTGCTGTTTAAGATACTTAAATATTTCTAAATACAAATATATTATAGAAAAATTAAACCTGGAGGCAGAACAAATGATTGTGCTCACAATGAAATGGGAATGGAAGGAATGGACCTACAACCCTGGTTTAGCAGCAGTCAGGGTCACTAATGATTAGACCAACAGACCCATCCAAATAAGGTACAATAAGGCAGTTTCATGTGTATTTTTAATCTACACATATAAAATATCTTAACAAAGTCCGTACTACCCGTTGTTTTCATTTAAAAGTACCTGCATGATCTAAGAGTCATACTATTGACAAAATAAATATAGATTATAGAGATGCACATTTCACTTGCTTACATCCTTTTTATAATCAATTGATTAGTAAAGAACTTAATTCTTATTTTAAAATGATTGGATTTTTGCTTTTATTGCTGTAGAACAAACCTTTTGTTCTTAAAGGTATTTTCTTTTTAATTTTAAAGCTTTTGCCTTTAGGCACAGATATTCAAGATATAAACATAGATCAGGTGTAGGCTTTTTGTTAAATAATTTAAAGTGTGAATTGCAAACCAAATTTCAATGACATTTTCTATGTAATTGCGAGATATAACATTAAGTCGTCATTGTCAGCTTTTATTTTTCTTCCTTCTAATTTGACATAAGCTAAAGAATTATTTCTCTTACTAAAATCTAGATATTTATAACAACTGTAAACATTTTGAATACAATGAAATTATAAATGTTTCAATACCATGTCCCAATAATACTTAGAATTAGGAATACATCCTGTGTCGCAGGGGACTTTACAAACACACATGAAACATACACAAAGGACACCCAGATTCAGAACAACAATTTGTGGATCACTCAAAGTGTCGTCAAATGTGGGGATCGGACCCACCAAACTCAGCGTAGTAGTGAGCGGCGTGGCGACTGCTTCAACCACAGACTGCTTCACACACAACCAGATGTTGCATTGCTTAATATGTGTCTGCTTTTAAAACTAAACCTATATGAATTCTAAAAAACCTTCAGGAGTTAAGTATGCAAATTAGTCTGTCATGGGACGGCAAGTCTATATGTAAATGTCAGATATGTTCTCCATGCCCATGATATTATTTACAAGTGTTTATTATTATTTAGAAGAGTTATTAACTAAATTATTTACAAGTGAAATGAATCTTATGATCAAACTATGATCCCCAGGTGATCTCTAGTATTATTAATGTTTAAGCTTTTATTTATTATCATAATGTATATTATGCTTAAGTGTATCAATTTGGGATATGAATCTACATGACCATGGTATTCAAACCCAGATCACATAAAAGCATGTATTTGTGTTGGACGGAATTCAAGCTATTCATACCACCATTACTCGCCAAAAAAACCCATAAAATATAATATTATGTGTAATAATAGTTTAGAGAGGTATATTGCCCTTTGTTAAGGTACACTGCGAATTTTGTTTTTTCTAAAAAATATTTTTATTAGGATTTTATCTCAAATCAAATAATATTTAGAAAAATTCTTGGACTAAAAATTATCACAAATTTAAGTATTAATAGCAATTCAATTTAGTATTTAAGTATAATTATGGTCTAGAACTCTTACAGTGTTTTAAATATTTGTTTATTCTTCACTTTTGTAATTATCAACAGCATGAAAGTTACAGCTTGTTTTTTTTCAATTGTTAAGTAACATTAAAATTACTGTTTAAGATTATAAAACCAACCTCCAGCGATAAGGTAGGTGAACGATTGGCGTCCATCGCTGCTCTCAGCATTCTTAGAGGTAGGGTCCGTGGTTTCCTTGCGACGATATGCTGAGAAGTCGGGGATAGCGATATCCGTATGAGCGAACCGAACTTGACTTGGTCCTGAAAATGACAACCGATTATGTAACATGATTTTCCGACGTAACTTCCTATAATTAAGAGTTCATACACAAAAATCTTCAAGAAAATAACTCACCACGGCCGTTTACACTAGCCTTCAAGCCTTGAATCGGTAAAGATCCATGCAACGACTGAACAGTAGACGTTTTACGTTGAGGATGTACGATCACCTTGTCAGAAGGTACGTGCACCGAGGTAACAGGCTTGAGGCCATTAGAGACCACAGATGAGGTCGCCTTGAAATATGGGGCCAAATGCCCAGCCCGCACTACCGAAGTCATAATGTATCACAGTCGAAATGCGCAGCAAAATTATTTTACTTTTGCGCTAAGCGCAGCGCTCGGATTGAAAGGTTGTCAAATTTGCAGAACCGCACACTGAGCCAATTATGACGTTATTTGCAGTTCAGAAAGGCTACCTAGAAATAATTTATTTCTTCTGAAATCATTTTCTAAAATTAAAGTCTCCATGGACATTAAAATAAAAAGGAAAAATAGTAATGATTTGTTATTATTTAAATTTATCAAATGAAGAATATTTTTTTATGTGAAAGCAACTTCCATACAAAAATGATAATATTTCAAAATAATGCAATATAAATAACGGAGTTTATTTATGACTACACGTACATTATATGTTATTATTGAATTACAAAGTACAAATCAAGTTAAAGTTCTTTTAAATCTATTTCAAAGAAAATCCAAATTTGTAATTTCTGAACGAATAGTTTCTTTTTTCCTTGGCAACATTTTAATTTAAATATGACGCGTTCAAAAATTTAGATTTTCAAACATGGCTATTTAATTTTTCTTAAAACTATCGTAAGTAATCAAATCCTAATTGGATACTTATTTGCCAAATCAGATTGTTGATATCGTTGTTGTTATGTGTTTTGATGACGATATTTTAGAATTTTATAAAAAAAATACTTTAATATAAATGTTTATAGCGTGTTTCTACGTGTGTCATTACTGCTATTTTAAATTATGTAATTTTAAAATAATTACTATCATATAATCTGATGTCCTTAATAAAATTGAAGGTTTTACTGACCAAGGAAATATCTAGTTTAAGTTAGAGACTGCAAGGCTGTTTTGCAAATCTAAGTAGTGTAAGCTACCTTAGCTAGATGGCGTCAGTATAAAAACACTATATTTCTATTATTTTGTGAGCAAATTAATAATGTAGACCATTCAATGAAATATTAGTTTTTCTTGAAATTATGATTGGTCACGTCATTATTATGGTCTGACCAGATCAAAAATAATCAGCGTTTAATGATATTACGAATTCGTATTATGGTCAATCACTAGTCATGATATTCAAAATAGTTAGGTACATTATCCACTGTCAGAAACGTTAATATCGTCTTGTTTAAATAAAGGATTATCAGTACGATATTTTTGTGACTACCTTTCGCTGCACTTTTTTCTTTTATTTACATATTATTATTCCTGTTGCGATCTTAATAGCAAAAGTATTTTTTGTAGTATTTCTTTACTGATAAGTTCTTGTTTATTTAGAATTTTTATTAAACCTACTACTATTTACTCACTGCTGGCACTGGCAAGCTCCACAACAGAGCATAGACAGCTGACTTATCATGATATCAACCTCCGGTCTTGGAGGGGAGTGATGTGGCGCCTTCCACATACAAAGAAACAGAAACATACCACAGCGCCATTTAACGAAGACACACCAAACTGCGGATTAACTGCTAAAATGAACAATCTCTCGCCGATTAGCATATACAACTTCCCAACATCAACCGCTGGGTCGCGGCCCGCCAAGCATGATCATTTCGCCTGGGCCTCAATTCTGCTATTTTATGTTCACGCCAAGCCACTGTCATACCACTGACACACTATTGAGATGCCATCGAGTGGCCATTGGCATCGGTATAAATCTGCTGCTCAGCATCGGCATGCATCGGCTGGTCGGAGGATACTCCCTTTGTGTTAGAAGGACATGACACCCGTTACTCCACAGTATCAATGATTGAATGTTATACGTTTAGTACCTACCTACCGAGCTACCATAATGCAGGCTCTGCCTAGTTTGGGATTACACGGTCGTGTTTGAGATGTGTGAGGTTTATTATTACTACTACTGATACCCCACATTAATGATAATTATTACTAAATGTGAATTCAAATATCAAAAAAAAATTGACGGTTAAAGAATTAAGTATCATTTTAAGCCGGCCACATCATGAAATACGAACATGAAGTATCGAAGATGTGTTCTATTTTATATACCTATATTTGGCCACGATATGTATCTATAAAATATATGGAGATTATAGATCTCATACATAAAAATCAATTGACACCGGTCACCGCGGGGCACTACTTGAAAACAGTTCGAACTTCGTCTGATAATTTTTGTACTATTCCTAATTTCTAGAAGAATGTTTTGTATTTGGCTGTTTTTATGTTTTTTTTTTCAATATTTAAGAACACCCCCCCCCCCCCTTTTTTTTTTCCGTGCGGGAATCCCCTCGGATACCACCTGTCGGTGGCATGTCGGACTCGAGCCGACTAAAACCGCACGCCGTCTCGGGTACTAATAGCCGGGGAACCAGGTATACCCTAGAAAGGAAGTCCCTGGTGCCCCGACATACCTCGGGTCATCTACAGACGAGTAGACGACCCCTCCCGTGTGGGAAACCCATGTTCCCTGTGCTCCCTGGAAACGAGCGCGAGGCAACCCTGAGGGCCACGGCCGGGGTTGCCCAAGTCGTTGAGCGAATCCGGCGGCTGGGTCTCGAGGTGGCTCTGCACAAGTCCGAGGCCCTGTTCTTCCACGGGCTTCGGAGGAAGCGGCCTGAGGGATCTAGCCTCACGGTAGGAGGCACTCGCATCGGCATCGGGCCCTCGATCAGGTATCTGGGGCTCGTACTCGATGGCCGATCAGCCTGTGCAGAGTAATATTGTTTCTTTAAACATATCGTTTGTCAATTAAGGAGTATTGATAATTGAAAAGACTACTCTTCTTCAAGACTTTAAGCAATCAGACGTAAAATATTTAGTACCTGGTGGAAATCCTAGTTACATAGATACACATTCAACTGCCAGGGACAGGATACAATTCAGTTCTTATACCTACATATACCAGTTTCAGATAAGTAGTGGGTTAGTAGGCCAAGGTTAGGAGGCCGTATATGAAATGTTACACTGAAAGATAAGGTACAGGAAAACTGTCTTAAGAACAATTATTTTGATTTTGGTATGGACACATTTTTGTTTAAACGTAAATATTAAATTTATTTCACGTAAATAACTATCAATTTATATAAATTCCTATAAAGCATTCCGTATTTCGTTCAAGATTAAAAAGATATCAGAAAAATCAAATAGGTATAGGTACTACCATTTGTTAGTAATTTTGTAACTGGTAACATTTAGTGAATAAGTAGTAGTAATTACGATGCAATTCCTGTATTATGGAGGTAAGAGGCAAGGAGCAAACCATCTCATATGGGGGATGGTTCAAAAAGTATCCAGCTGTATACTGAAAATAGAAGTCGTTGCCGTACGAAAAACTATGATATGAACATAGCTGTTGTAGACAGAGTGAAGTGTGCTGAGTTAAAATATTATAACAATTTTATTGTCTGAAAGTTATGGGAGATAGGACAAAATCACATTCAACTGTGAATGAACGGTGATATATCATTCGATTTTTACATACTTACTTCCACGTTGTTGCTATTAAGCTGTTTTCAGATAATAGTAGATCTATAATTATCTTATTATATATAGCTACCAGTCCCTACATAAGAATTTGAAAAATACTAGATTTACTGTTAAATAGCGTCTAAGCTACCTGCCTAGCAACCCTAGCCTACGTATGCAACAATCGAATGATAAATCACAGTTCACTGTGATTTTGTCTAATGTCTACTGAAAGTTATTACACGTTTATTTATTATCTGTAAAACTCATTGAGTATTTTCGCAGTCTAGTATACAGTGTTTAATTATTATTTAAGCCAATATAATATTTCTTTAAAAAATATCCTTATGCTACTGTAGTGGCCCCCAATTTAACGCATTTTGACGGACACTTTTCATACACAAATATGATTCTCCTTGCATCTACTCTCCATACTCTGAATGAATTCTTTTAACATATTAGAATAAAATAAAAATTTGAAAAAAAAAAGGAAAACTTTTATGGGTTTAGCATAAAAAATAATCTCACATACAAAATTTCTTACTAAAATTTGTTAATATTAATATTAATCACTTTCTATAAAAATAATTTCTTTGATTTTGATTATTATGATTTCATGTTTTTTAAGGATTTTAAAAATTGAGACAACCTAGGATGTTGAAGTATATAACATGTGCCACTTTGACATGCTTGTTTTCCACCGTAGTAAATTCAAAATTCGTATTTTGTAATACCAGGCAAATTCGATATAACTTGACACAGGTTCCTTTTGTACTGTTGTACTGTACTGACATGATATTATAGTAAAAGAGACACACCACACTCTTCTTTTCATCGGCCATAGAAAATACATCATCATTAGCTGTTTTCACCTATTATTTAACGTACTGACCCCTGAAAAAAGTGAAGAATTATGTAAGAATCAATAAAAAGACCTGGGTCGACTCATTCGATTTTTGGAAGAGGATTGCATTTGAGTTACAGTTTCTCCTTCATGTAGGGGGAAGTGCGGGAATAAGCCTCCGGTAGTTATTCACTAAATACTCACTACACAAAAGATTTGAATAACACCGCCGTCCTTCCTCACAGAAAACCGGTGTTATTCAAATGTTTCTTGTATCTCTCCGGTCGAGCTGGCCCATATGTAAGCATGACTCTTCCAAGATTAAAATTTGAGCAGTAACCGACTGTGCCACGAAATTCTGGTAAACACAAAACTTAGTATATGTATATATTCACCAAAATATCAACAGAATCTCATGTTACGAATTTCATCTTCATCACACGAAGTCCGGATGCGTTCGGACGTGTTCGTACTACATCTGGGGCCGCCGCTCATTGAATACGATTACTATTCAGCTTGCGATCATCACTTGATTTGTTATCCCTGCACTAATAGTGTTTATTATTTTCTTCTAACATTTGTAGGCGTCATTACCAAGTATAGTAATAGGCCATAGATACTCTATAATTATGCATTAAAATGTACTATGTTAACAAAAATAAAACAGGTCAGTACCTAATACATGTTTTAATTTCTTTTAATTTTAATGAGACTTCGCTTTCGAGTCTTAGCTTTCATTTTCTGATACTTACAAATATAG